AGCCTCTTGAGTGGGACAGCTATAATAAATGATACTCAGAGGCAAAGGAAAGAGAGCATAGGTCTGAATTAGAATCAATGAAACAAAGCAATAAATCAGTTGAAAACCTCCTAAACAACCCTAAACTACCTAACTACCTAAAATATACCCACCTTTACCAAAAGACTCCATCAATTCCCCAGTTTCTGTGTTCCATTCCAAGGTACAAGCCAAAGTTCCCCCAGGAAAAAATCCTGAGGAGAACAGCTTGATAAGGACCTGTGGTTTCAAGCCCTGGCAACTTGGAGAACTCCAGGCTATTGCCAAGGAGTGTCCCAGCCCCAGGGGGAATCCCATAGGCTTTGTTGAGAAGTTCTGATTCATCCTGTATTCATACAGACCCAGGTATCTGGATCTGTATCAACTCGTGGTTGTCTCAGTCAGGAAAGGGAAGACTAGGAGTTGGTGCCAGAAAGCACCCCAGAAAGCATTGAGAGACACTCACTGCAATCCCAATCACTCAGAATGACTAGGCTCCCAGGAGGGCTGGCAGGAGGGAAGGCAAAAGGAGGGGGGATGTACAGGTGATGCCCGTAATCACCAGGACTCCTGTTGAAGACACTGGTGCCACACTCTGAGTTTTAAATCCCTCTGCCTTCCCACTCCCCTCCCCCAGAGTTGACTGTGTCTCAGTTATGGGGATTGCTAATAAGACCACTGTAGTCAATATCTCAGAACCACTCTCCCTTTTTATTGGAGGGATCAGTGCTTCTCATCCTTTTGTCCTGGTCCTTGAGGCCACTAGACAAGCCACTATTGCATTTGACCCAGGAGGAATAACTTCCTTTTGTTCTTTATCCCCAACACCTTCCTTAACCCCTTCCAACCATCTGGCTCTCAACCAAGTTTCCCTCCAGTTTGTGGACTTCAGATGTTACTGATATTGGATCAGTTATCAATGCCCTACCCTACTGTTATGCAGTTAGCTCTCCCATCTCATTTATTCACCTCAGAGAAAGGAAGGAATGCAGTTGGCATAAGCATCACATTCAATCCTGCCATCTATCTACCTGTGATAGAAAATGAGGATGAGACTTTGGCATACGACTTTGGCCTACTATGGAAACATCAGGACTTCTTTACCTCCTTAGGACAGCCCATTAAAAATCAGAAACAGGTTTCCCATCCATTAGACTGTTTTGTGCTTCCCCAGACTGTAGTGGTAATTAAAGTTCCAGGGCAAAACCAAGAGAACATCATTCATGCCTATGGAAATGACTTGGCTGACCAAGCAAATATAACCACAGCTTTAACTCCTCAAATTCCTAAGGTAAGTCCCCATAAGTACCCTTAGTATATCCATCTTACACAAAAGGACTACCTAAGACTCTTAGCCTAACAAAAGAAGAGATAGCCACAGCTCAGAAAAGAATGCTTATCACAAAACAAGATAAGATTCAAAAGCGAGGATGTAACTTTGATAAAAGTATGGGACTATGGGTTGGCTCAAACAGTACTCCCTAAGAACTTATCCCTCCCTATAATGGAACACCTTCATTCATTCAGCCATTAGGGACCTGACAAGCTAGTGGAACTAGCTCAAAAATATTGGTAGGGGAGATTTCACAGAGCTGCTGTGACCACCTGTGAAATGTGTCCCATCTGCCCCAAGCACAATGCATCCAAGCGTCTGAAGCCTGTTCGTGGCCAGTTTCCTCTCCCAGATGCACCCTTTGAAACCTGGCAGATTGACTTCAATCAATTGCCACCTGTCCTTAGTCACAAATATGTTTTGGTTATGGTCTGTATGTTTCCCTGATGGGTGGAAGTGTTCCCCTGTCATACTACCACAGCCTTTGGGGTAGCAAAAATCCTTTTAGAAAAAATCATTCCATTATGAGGCATTGTTAAAGAGATACATAGTGATAGAGGTACCCACTTCATAGGAGTTTCATTAACTACACTGCTTTCATCCTGGCCAATTATTCAGCACCTCTGTTGTGCCTATCACCCCCAGTTGAAAGTGTTAATGGGATACTTAAAACCTGGATTAAATGGGGTCTAAAGGAGCCAACATCTGAGGTGGACAGCTGCTCCCAAGACCCCCAGGATGAGAAGACAATAGCTGATGTAGACCAACCAACCCAAGAACCTGGATATGGGCTTGATGAGGATGGGATCTAGACCCAAAAAAGGAAAAATCCTGGACTTTCCCACACGGCCAAATCTCTGGCATTCACCTGAGGCTATAATCCCATCAACTGGCCTTTAGTCAGTCCTTCCTATGGCCCCAGGCCACTTCCCACCCTTGGTAATTCTATTACCTCATGGACTGCTTGGCCACTCCTAGATCACTCCCACAGTTTTTCTGTATATAAGGTCCATCTTGCGTCCATTAAGATGCTTAGATTCTTATAATCTAGTCACTGCTTAGATTCTTAAAATCTAGCCAATAGCTTACTAATGTTCAGACTCCTTAAGAGTTTGCCCAATATGATGGATGTTCTAATAAACCTTGTCTTTGGCTGAAAGAAGGCTTGGGCCAAATTCTTTCGGGCAGGACCTGCATGTTGTGATTTTGGGGCCCCAGCACCCCTGAACCTCTACACTGAATCAGGCTGAGGTTTGCAGTGTTTTTTTCCTCTTTGCTATTGTCCCCTCAATTTCTTAATGTTCATGGAAGGGGCAGATTTTTTCTTTCATTTTTATGTTTTGTACTTATTTCCTTAAGTTGTGATTAATGAAAATTTTGCTATTTAAAGTAAAAATTCCTGGGACTGTAATTTGTTTTGAGCTTTGATTTCAGAATAGTTGTTTGAAGAGTCACAAAGCCAATAATAGAAAATGGCATGTGTGGCAGTCTGAGGACTGCTAAGGTGGATGTCTATGCCTGAGAAAGGTTATAAGAACAACTTAGGACAAGGCCTGGGTAGGATCCTCCTGACTTTATTTGTCCATTGTGTTATTTCCTTTCTGAAAAAGGAAATTTCCCACCCCATTAATCTGGTGCCCTAATTTAACACTCTGTAACTACATAACTGTCTGTCAGATGTGACTCATGCCTGGAATCAAACAGAGTTAAGGGAGTTTTTCCCCTGTTATATGATAACTGTGTCCCCCCTCTTTTTTTCTTTTAAAGCAAATTTCCATAACCAAGAAAATTTTTCAAAATCATGTTTCAAATGAATATTCCTCATTGGCCTTCAAGGGTCATTCCGATCTTTTTGGCCAAAAGGAGAGAATGAGAAAGGAATTTAAAATTTTCATATTAATTGATATGATATATGTAATGAATATACTAATAATTTAGTTTTCTCAAGAGCTGCCTTTTCTAACTTGTGAGTCAGACTCACAATGCAGCTTGAACTAATCAATCAAACCTTGAACAGGCTCACAATCACTGGCCTCCTTCTGCCTGAGTACCTGAAGTGAAGTGAATCAAAGACTGTAGAACCTGTTCCCCATCATAGAACTCTGTTTCTGTACTATAGGAGAGGTGGTCACAACCCCTAAAGTCTTGACTCCAGAATTGTTGTATGGTGGGACTTGTGGGTTTCTCATGGGAAACCACTAAATGATTGTTTGTAATCCACCTTTACCCCTCTTTCCCTAGTTGTGATTGAAGTATATAAGCTATGCTTTTACATCAGCTAAAAGAGCATTCCTCACTCTGAAACTGATTAGTTAAACTATTTGATTACTGGCACTCCTGTCTCTAGGCCTATTTTGTGGGTCTCTGAGCATTCTCAGGTTAGAGATTGGCTCAGTAAAAATTCTGTTAACATGTGAAACTAATCCCCTTCCCATCCCCAGAGGTTGAGGGGGTATAAGGAGGAGATTATGCTCCACCTAGTTGTTAGGTGTGTGTGTGTTTTAATATTTGTACATTTGTTCTTGCTATACCTTTGAAGTAATATTCCTTTGTAAAAACTAATCTGACTGTTAAGTGGTTAAATTCAGTATATCCTTAAAATTCTGGCCACAAAGAATTCACAGTCTAATGAGAAAGACAACAAGCAAACAAATATGTGCAAACAAGCTATTTACATAATAAATGGGAAATAATTAAAAGAAGGAAGGCACTAGAATTGAGAAAGGCTTCCTGTGGAAGGTAGGATTTTAGTTGAGACTTGAAGGAAGCTAGGAAAGCCAGCAGGCAGAAAACAAAGGAAAGAGAGAGTACTTCATGCATGGCAGACAGCCAGAGAAAATGCAGGGAGTCAAGTGATGGAGTGTCTTGTTAATGGAACTGTAAGGAGTACATATAAGGTGTAAAAAGACTTGGGGAGGGGGAAGGATGTTGTAAAGGGCTTTGAATGCCAAATTGAGGATTTTGTATTTGATCCTGGAGGCAATACAGAGCCACTAGAGTTTACTGGGGTAGCTAGGTGGCACAGTGGATAGAGTATCAATTTTGGAGTCAGAAAGACTCATGTTCCTGAGTTCAGATCTGACCTCAGACACTTACTAGCTGTAGCTGTGTAATCTTGGGCAAGTCACTTAACCCAGTTTGCCTCAGTTTCCTCATCTGTAAAATGAGTTTGAAAAGGAAATGGCAAACCACTCCAGTATCTTTGCCAAGAATAAGAAGTTTCTCTCACCCTCCTTTATTGACCTCTGAAAGCCCAGTAAATATCACCCCAGGAAAAACCCTGGAATAGCTGAGCCAGCAGAAAGACAGGATGCAGCAGTTCTTGTAGCCCAGGAAGCTCAGAGAATTAAAGAGAAAGTCCTTCCCTTGCTCTGGGGGAGGAGGAGTAGTACAAGATGGGAGGCATCACAGCAAGCTAGCAGCAAGCCCCACCTCAGCATACCAGGGGGAGATCCAGGAGCCCCAGGGTAGTAGGCCAGGCAAGTTCCAACACCAGGACCCCCTGAGTACCTGAGTACAGGCACAGGAACCAGTAGACACTGGTTCTGGAAAACCACCACATGCAACGTCCTTCTCCAGTAGCCAAATCTCCCAGTGCCTCAGACCAATTCCAGGAAGCACAACTCCAGGAGGCAAAGCTCTAGGTTGACAGACATCCTCCAGCAGTGAAATATCCCTGTGCAAGGCCTGGGAGAGCAGGAGCCAAAGAAAAGAATGCAAGGCTTGGGTGAGCCCAGAATCCCCCAGGCACCAGACTCCCCACCCCCACACCGAGAGCTCCAGTTGTTGCTGACCCCAACCCAGCACCAGGTAAGCTGCCAAAACCCTATAGCCTCCAACTGCCAGCATCTGAGGCCCCAGCACATAAAGCCAGTGACCAGGTTCCTGCACCTAGCATAAGAAGCTTGGGTCAGTGTTCCCTTCACTCCAGCAAGAGAGCTCAACTTTTTTTTAAAAGTCAGGAAATAATCAAACACCATGAGCAAAAAGCAGAAATGGACAATTATCATAGATTCTTATTATGAGAACAAGGAAGATCAAGGCACAAATTCAGAAAAGGACAACATTGTCAATATACCTACACCCAAAACCTCAAAGGGGAATATGAACTGGTCTCCAGCCCAAAAAGCCTTCTTGGAAGAGCTCAAGAAGGATTTTAAAAGTCAAATAAGAGAGGTAGAAGACAAGTTGGGAAAAGAAGTGAGAGGTATGCAAGAGACAGTCAATAGCCTGGAAGAGAAAGGACAAAAATTAACTGTAGGAAACAAGTCCCTAAAAAATACAATTGGCCAAATGGGAAAAAAAGTACACTGAAGAAAACAACTTCTTAAAAAGTAGAATTGGCCCAATGGAAAAGGAGGCACAAAAACTCTCTGAAGGGAAGAACTTCTTAAAAAGTAAAGTGGGTCAAATGGAAAAGGAGGTACAAAATCTAACAGAAGAATAATTTGTTAAAAATTAGAATTGGACAAGTGGAAGTTAATTCCTCTATAAGAGATCAAAAACCACTCAAGCAGAAACAAAAGAATGTAAAAATAGAAGAAAACATAAAATACCTCATTGGTAGAAAACTCCAAATAGGTTCATGAAGAGTCAGATATGACTGAAAAACAACTGAACAACAAGAGGGAATGATATAGCCAGATCTGTGCTTTAGGGAAATCACTTTGGCAAATGAGTGGAGGATAAATTGGAGTGGGGAAAGACTTGAGAGAGGCAGACCTACCAGCAAGCTACCTCAATAATCCTGGTGTCAGGTGGTGATAGTCTATACCAGGGTGGTGGGGATATCAGAGGAGAAAAAGGGAGTATATTTGAGAAATGTTGCAAAGGTAAAATCAATAGAACTTGACAATAAATTGAATGTGGAGGGTATTAATGAAGAAGGTAGGATGACACCTAGGTTGCAATCCTGAGGGTCTGGAAGGATGGTATTGTCCCCAGTAGTATTAGGGAAGTTGCAGAGGGAGGGTTTAGGAGAAAAGATAATAAGTTTAGTTTTGGACATATTGAGTTTAAGATGTGTACTGGATATCCATTTCAAGATGTCTGAAGGTTCAATTTTAGACATGTTGAGTTTAAGATGTCTAAAGGATGTCCATTTTTGGAAATTAAATAGGCAGTCAGAGATGTGAGACCAGAGGTCAAGAGAAAAGTTAGGGCTGAACAAATAGACTGAAAATCACGTGCAGAGATGATAAATAAATTGATGAAATAACCAACCAAAATAGTATTAGAGGGAGATAGGAAGAGAGCTCATTACAAAGTTTTGGGAGCTATTACAGTTGTGGGTAAGACTTAGCTGAAGATCCAGAAAAAAAGACTGAGAAAGAACAGTCAGAGAAGTAGAATGAGAATCAGGAAAATTATGTTACAAAAGCCTAGAAAAAAGAAAGTATCAAGAAGAGAGTAAATGACAATGTCAAAGACACTGCACTGACTCCCATCTCCCAGAGTTAGAACCCTCCTGGATTCTTCAAGGTCTTCAGGAACTTCTATGACATCTCAAGATAGAAAGCTAGGCTTCTTGGAGCCTTGGGGTTTCCTGGTCTGAGGCATGTTATATTCATACTTGTCCTTACATGGTTTCCAATATCTTGCTATGGGTTTCCATATATCCTGAAGCTTTCTCCAGGGAATCTGTTCTCTTACCTTGTCAGGATAGCCTGTAGCCTACAGGCGTTACTGATCCATCTCTGAGCATCCATCTGTAGGCCTTTTTGTCTGTTCTGGTGCTGGCTTCTTCTTCACTTCAATTGCTTGTGGGCTTCTGTACAATTCTATGATGGAAGAAGTCATTTGCTCTAGTTTCTGGTGTGATTTTTAAGTTTTTGTTGGATTATGTGTAGGGGAGTTGATCTGCTTGCCTCCATTGAAGCAGCAATCTTGGTGGCTTTGGAATAACTTTTTAATAAGTCTTGCTGGCTCACGTCTCCTCTCTCCAATCCATCCTCCACACAGTTGCCAGATTGACTTTGCTAAAGCCCTCAAGAGGAAGTGGCATGAATGTTAACAAGCATCCTGGGAAATGCAATTTAGTGTATCTATAGAACTATGACATGATTTAAACAAGGCAAAATTATACTAGCCCCAAGAGAGCTGTGCATGACAATCTGTAACAGGAGTAAGAGAAAAAAATAATAGAGGTGCAGAATCAGAGACAGTAGAGGATTGTATTAAGTGCACCCAGTTCTCACCAAAGCAGAGTCTTTGTCCCTTCATGGTAGACAGAATAAAACTATCAGAGTAGGAGACAAACCCAATTCTTAATTGACTGTTCTCTAGCCTAAAATCCATGTGGCTGGATTTCCTTTCACTTTATACTCCCATCTGATGGGACAGAGATTTAAATCTGAAATTTCCTGTTTTTGTTTTAAGCTGCTCTTTACAGTCTCATTAGTATTTTAAGCCTCGCTGATGAATGTATGTATATATTTAATTGCATGGATAGAGTTCAAAGGAGCTAGGAAGTTTTCTTTCTATCTTTGGGAACATACACTAGTCACTGGTTAATTGTTTGAGAATGGAGATAGAGCTTTTCTTTTTGTATTTCATTAGAAATTGTGCTAGTGTCCTGACCTTTCCATCTCCTGCTCAAGCATTGTGTCCCCTAAGAAAAGGTTGCTTGAGGCGAGGCTGGGCATCTTCTATCTGCCCCAAACAAACCATTTCACCTATACCAACACAAAGCATCTACCACCTCCTGCTTCCAGCCCAATCTCCCTACAGGGGTATAGAGAACTTCAGGCACAAGGAATAACAACCCTTCTTTCAATTTCAGGTCCCGCACCTCCTGATATACCTGTCCTTTGAGGGTAGAGAAGTAGCACTCTCCACTCAATGATGAACATTCTGACACCTGATTATACCCTTTACATCTCAGTGACTATGAACCAAACCCACTCCATACCTCCTATCACCCTATTCCTCATTCTTAATCCCCCTCCAACCTCCCACTCCTAAGTTTCATTATAAATCCACCCATCCCCCTCCACTGTGACTTCTGGAATGCTTGTACCACATAGACAACAAACTTCCCTTAATCTTAAAATTAATCCTCTCCTACTCCTTTTGTCTGCTAGCTCTTACTAAAAACTAGCTCTCCCCAGATGACACAGCCTCCTTGGTCACCCTTTCCAAAAGTGGCTGCACCTTCACTCATTCTCATTGGTTCACTGGTGGAAGCAGGAAGAGTTGGAATGCTCTTGGATCCCTACTGCCACTTCCAGGTTCTCTTCCTTCCTCTCTCCCTCAGTAGCTATAGGTATCTATAGCCTATCTATAGCTGTAGGTATCTATAGGCCTTCAGGCCATTCCTCTTTTTTTCTCAATGATTACAATACCTGACTTACAATTTTTCTCTCCTTTCCAACAGCTGCTGTCAAATTGGGAGATTTCAATACACAAATTGATTCTCCCTCAAATACCCTAACCACGCAGTTCTTCATTCTACTTACTTTCCATGAGCTACTCCTCCATCCCACCTTAGCCACACACAAAGATACTCTTGATCTTGCCATTACTTACAAATGTACCACAAATTTACAAATGTAAATATTCAAGAGTTTTTATATCTCCTTATCCAACTTTTCACCTCTGCATTATCTTCTATAACCCTGTTCTTTATCTGCACCATGACCTTCAGCTCTTTGAACCCTCAATTCTCTTTAAGGCCATCTCCCTTACACAAGCCACTCTCTCCTCTTCTCTCTACATTAACTCCCTGGTGAACTAATTCTACTCCTCACTGTCCTCCTCTCTTGATTCCCTACTCCCCTTATCAAGTTACCAGTTATGCCCAGACAAACCTCAGACTTGGATCACTCCTACCATTTATCTCATTCACACCCACACATGTGCTGAATGGAGATGGAGAAAATCACACAATGATTCTGACCAGATCCACTACAAATTTATATCACATAACCTAAAGCAAGCTCTCACTAGTGCTAGGTAATCCAACTATACTTGTCTTATCAATTCTCTATCCCATTGTCCACAGCAGCCCTTCCAAACTTTTTTATCATTCCTCAAACATCCCAAGGCTCCCTTCTCAGCTGAGAACCTTGCTTCATATACTATAGAAAAGATAGAGGACATTTGTGCTAAGTTCTTTTTCTCTCTCTTTTTCTCATCTTCTATCACTCCAGTTTCTTCTGCCACTTTCTCCTACTTCATCCTTGTTTCACATGATTAAGTAGCCTTACTCCTTACCAAAGCTAACCCCTCCACTAATTCAAGTGATCTCATTTCATTCCATCCCATCTCTTCCAAGAGATTTGCCCTCCTCTGTGATTCCTCACGCTTTTATTTATTTTCAATCTTTCCATCTCTACTGGTTCATTTCCTACTGCCCATGTCTCTCCTATCCTGAAAAAACCCTCACTATCCCCATTAAGTATCATCCCATATCTCTTCTGCCCTTTATAGCTAAACTCTTCAAAAAGGCCATCTACTCTAGGTGATTCCACTTTTTCTCTACTACTCTCTTCTTAACTCCTTACAGTCTGGCTTCCAACCTTATCACTCCACCAAAACAACTGTCTCCAAGTTACTTATACTCTCAGTTGCCAAATCTAATGGTCTTTTTTCAATATTGACTGCCCTTGACCTCTCTGTGATCTTCAGTACTCTCTCCTCCTTAACACTCTCCTTTCTCTAGGTTTGCAGGACACCATTCCCTCCTGGTTTTCCTCTTATCTATCTAACCACTCCTCTTGTCTCCTTTGCTGAATCTTTCTCCAAATCACACCTTTAACTGTAGGTATCCCTCAAATCTCTATCCTGGGCCCTTTTCTCTTAACCCTCTATACTACTTCACTTGGTAATTTCACCAGCTCCCATGGATTTAATAATTATCTCTATACTGATGATTCTCGATTCTATCTACTCTGCCTCAATATCTACTGAGTTTCAATCTTGCATCTCCAGTTGCCTTTCTCAAACTAGATATCCAAATAGACATTTTAAACTCAATACGTCCAAGACAGAACTTAGTATCTTTTCCCCCAAACACACCCCTCCTACCTTCCCTATTAGAAGACAACACCATCTTCCTGGGCTCTCAGGTTCACTCAAGGCCTATCAATTTCACCTTTGCAACATCTATGGAATATGTTCCTTTCTCTCCTCTGACACTGTCACCATTCTAGAACAGGCTCTCATCACTTCATGTGATAATCTGCTGGTGAGTCTGCTTGCTTCACATCTTTCCTTGCTGCAATTCATCCTCCATTCAAACACTAATGTGAAGCCATTCTTGGGCTCAAAGATCACTGCAGATGGTGACTGCAGCCATGACATTAAAAGATACTTGCTTTGTGGAAGGAAAACTATGGTAAATCTAGACAGCATACTAAAAAGCAGAGACATCACCTTGTCAACAAAGGTCTGTATGGTCAAAGCTAAGGTTTTTCCAATAGCAGTGTAAGGCTGTGAAAATTGGATTGTAAGGAAAGGTGAGCACTAGTCAAATACTGAATCTAAAACGTAAATACTTTGGCCGCATAATGAGAAAGCAGAACCCATTAGAAAAGACCTTAATACTGGGAAAGATTGAAGGCAAAAGGAAAGGGGATGGCAGAGGATGAGATGGATAGATACTATCATAGAAACAATGAATATGAACTTGAACAGACTTTGAGAGATAGTAAAGGAGTCATGTCTGACTGAGCAACATATCCCTATCAAGTTGATTCCTGTCTCTGGGGCTCAGTTTTCTCATCATAAAGTTAAGAAGTTGGACTAGATGGCATCTACAGTCTCTTTCAGCTTCAAATCTATCATCCTCTGAAATTAACTGGAGAGATATTCACTGCTCATGGTTGAGCTGTGCCAATAGAACTACATAAAACAATATACAATCTTTATAAGAACAAAATGTCTAGGCAAATGAGAAAAAGTACTAATGAAAGCAGGTATCATAGTGTTGTTATTGTTATTATTCAGTCATGTTTGTGACCTCCTTTGGGGTTTTCTTTGGCAAAGATACTGGAGTGGTTTGCTATTTCCTTCTCCAACTCATTTTATAGAGGTGGAATTGAAGCAAACAAGGTTAAGTGACTTCCCTAGGGTCACACAGCTACTGAGTGTCTGAGGCCTGATTTGAATTCAAGAAGATGAATCTTCCTGACTTCAGGGCTGGTACTCTATCTACTGTAACACCTAGCTGCCCTCATAAGACCACAGACTATATTATGAAACAATAATAATCAAGACTATTTGGGTAAAAAAGAAAGGTTATTTATGTAACCCTTATCTCAAATATTGGTATGGAACTTTCTCATTATTGGTGGCCCTGCCTGTCATGCAATTGGTGACAGGGAAGAGAGTTCCAATCTTAGCCAGCCCCTTTTGAGATTCTTCAAGCATTGAGTTGCTCCAGTGATTCTGGCTTCCACCTTCAAGAGAGAAGATGGAAAAGGCAAACCCTACTTCAGGTTCCTGAAGGAAAAAGAATCTGGAAGACATGAGAGGACGTGGCAATCTCCATCAGCTTGCTACTCTAGAGACTTTGGGGGAGCTTCACCTTTCAGTGAGATTGAGCTTGCTTCCATGGAAGTCCTCCTTCACTCTGTCTCATCTAATGTGTATTCTCCCTTCTCTGATTTCTGTTTTGCTATGATTTGGATAAAAAGTTTTCTTTGGTATTCGCTATGTGTGTTCATTGTGGAACTGATATTTGCTAGCAGAGGAGCTTGAGGTTGACCTTCCCCCTAATAATAATGAGACAAAACTATTAGGAGTTAGATTGAACCTAATCATATCCCACTAGACTAATAATATTTAAGAAAGCAGGTAGATATAATCTTAGCCTGATAACCTGTCTCTCTGGCAAAGCAGCCTCCAGTCCCAATTTCCTGCTTCCCTTCCTGACTGAAATGAAATTCTTCCTTGGAGAGTGGGGGGGGGAAAGAGGGCTAGAGGTGTCTATTCTGCCTCCCTTCAAGACACACAGTGATAGGCCTGGCCACAGGTGGGCCTCTCATTACATATAGGGTTATCAACTCTACATTTACTTAGTAAATACTCCTAAGTCAAAGCTAAATCTGACTGACTATCTGGTAATCAAAGGGGAGCACACTAGATATTGGCTGATGAATAACAGTACAAGAAAACCACTCCAACTCTTAGGACTCTGAGAAATAGAAGCAGTTAACCATCCTCTGGGGGCCTTAGCTGACAATCTAAGGGGGAGTTGGGAAGTGAATCTAGCATTAATGCTACATAAAGATTAAAACAGAGGACAAAGCAGATACTTATTAACTGTGTAATAACTAAATAAACTATGGTACATGAAAATAATAGAGTTTTATTGTGCTATAAGAAACAACGATCACAAAAAATATAGAGAAGCATGAAGAGACATGAACTGATGCAATCTGAAGAAAGCAGAGCCAGGAAAACATTATACCCAATACTAAAATAACTTAAGTGGAAAGAATAACAACCACAAAACAAATAAAAATGTATGTTATGAAATTATATGATAATAACCTTGGCCCCAAAGAAGTACTATGAAAAGACTTCTTTGTATAGGTGTGAGATCCACAGGTGTGGAACCTTGAATGCAATGTCAGGGTTTTCTCAATGCATGGATTAGGTCTGCTGAATTTTTTCTCCTCTTCCTCCTTTCCTTTCCTTTCTTTTCCCATTCTTTTTATGTAGAAAAAGGAGAGAGACAGACAGAGAGACATAGAAAGACTTCCTTATTCTAGGAATCTGAAAAGTTTAATCATCAGATTATCAGGAGCTAATCTGGAACTGGAGCTGTTAGGCCAAAATGAGAGAGAAGCATTAGACTGTTCAAGCCTGTATATGAATTGGGGATTCAGCTACTCATTGAAACAAACCACAAGATGATGAAAGCACAGATTGTGAGGGAAAATGTGGATATGTATAGTTTCATATTTGAAAGGCAAATAGCCATTCTTGGAGAGGCATATTCGAAAGAAAAACCACTCCCTTGAGGGAGGAGGATGCTGAAAAGATGCCATGTTTGGCTTTTTCTAAATAGTTTCCCCTCATCCTCCCAGAGGTCCATCCCTTATTAAAAATATGTAGTTATTTTTAGAGGACCTGAATCCCATAGGTGCTATTTACTATTTTTGTGACCTTGTACACATCACTTAAACTCTTAGGAACTCTGTTTCTTCATCTGAAAAATAAGGGGGTTGGACCAGATATTCTCTAATGTCCCTTAGAGCTCTAATTTATACAATACTATGACTTATAAAAGCAAGAAGGAAAATAGAAGGAATAGCATGTGGGAAAAAACAAGAATAAGCATGAACTCCTGGAGGATGAGTGAGACAGACTGGCTGAAACAAAAGGTTCAGTACTGAGTGATAAGGTTGGAAAAGTTCATCTGGGTTAAATTTTGGAAAGCTTTGAATGCCCAGCTAAGTAACATGGATTTTATTCTATAAAATACCATTAGATCATTTCCTAAGGGGAGATTTTGTTAAGCAACTGAAGGAATGACAGTAAAGAAGTAAGAAGAGTGGGAACAGAATTCAGGAAAGGGAAGGTTGAGGACTTCAAAGACAAAAATCTATCTGCTTCATAGTGTTCCTGAGATTCAGCTCTATTCCTAGGGATTAGGCAATTGTTTTGCCCAGAATCTTCAGGTATTTACCCTCCTACTCAAAGACCAAAGCCTCATAAATAAAATTAGTTCCTATTTACCTCAGCAGGAAAGTTCACAAACTTCTTTGAAGATAATGGAAGAAATGAGGAGATACATTTACCTAGCTGGTCAGTATTTCAAAACTAAAAATAGGCCTGTTTTGTAAATTCTTTGATTGTGCAATCCCTTAAACCAATCCTTCAAGAATAGGAAGCAATGAGCAGTGCTTAGAGGTAAACATTCCATCTGTGTTGAAACTGGAATTTCCTTTATGGGGGGAAGGGAAAGAAGAAGGAGGGAGGATTTTCTCCCCTTCCCCAGTCCCAATTTAGTTTATGTAAACATAGAAAATAAAAGGCAGATAGCAGAAGTGTTAAAAAAAAAATAAAAATGGTTATAACTTTAGAAAGTGTGATGGATTTCTCCTTGAATAGATTTTAAAAGAAAGCTAGCCATTGACTCATCACACTCCTTGGGCCATCAAAAAATGTTAAGCCTATAAGCCTGAGAGAGAAAGGCTCTGAAAACCACTTATCAATCTCTTGCTGCTGTTACAATCTCTACTCCACTACCACTGCCCTCACTTTACAATTCTGAAGCAAAACAGTCTCAACTTTGTTCCCCTCTCAATTCTGTATGGAGGAGGTAAAAGTACACAAAAGCTAGAAGCTTGCTGGGGTAGCAGTATGCTTGCTGTGGCATATAGTAGTGCTCGGCCAGACAACTAGGGAAAAGAGGGAATGGGGGTACTGTGGGCATATATATGGCTCATTCAGGCCTAAAAAAAGGGACTTGCATCCAGCTGAGGCCAGTTTAATTACCTTGATAGTGACTTGGGGAAGAGACTGAGGTTTGTGGAAGATGAATTCCTCAGCATGGGAAAAGACTGAGATAGCTTTTATAGTCTAGCCCCTGGGGAAACCACCATCAAAGGGAAAGGAGTCAGAAAGTGAATGATAGGGAAACAAGAGAAAAAAACACACTGAAATTATCAAAGATCTCAGGAGGAAAAATTGAAAATTAGAACCAATAGGAGGAACCACAAGAAAAAAGAAACAAAACAGAAGAAAATGAAAGAGCAAATAGTATACTTCAATCTCTATTCAGACTCCATAGTTCTTTCTCTGGATGTGGATAACATTTTCCACCATGAGACTTGGAGGGAAAGCTGAACCAACATGTGGTTGGCAACAGTGGAGCACAAAAGGACTAAGCAGCTTTCAGAGATTTGGTGTAGAGTACTGCATTTACTCATCTGGGCCATTATACTTGCAAACATCAAGACTAATTTGATGAAAACGATGGGGAAATTCAGAAGTTGCTAAATGAAAATTTAGAACTTCACAGGGTTTAACAGCAGGATAGTTTGTCTCTAAGAAAGAAACATTTAACTTCACCAAAAGTATAGAGCAAGAAAAGCTTAGAGAGATACAGGATTCTTGGCTCAGTAAGAAGGCAGAGGAAATTCAGTTTTACATTGATAGTAACAATTCAAAACATTTTTACTATGCCCTGAAGGCTATTTATGGGCCACAGACTTATGGTACATCTCAACTACACAGCACTGATGATAAGGATATGATACTGGAGGGATGGACTGAACAATTCCATAGTGCTCTCAATACACCATCATCAACTAATGCTGAAGCCATTGACGATATGCCTCAGGTTGAAGTCAATCCTTCTCTAGTCAAACAACCAACTGAAAAGAGGTCTGATTACCATTAGGCTCTTCTCATGTGACAAAGCACCTTACGCTGATCCTATTCCAGATGGAATTTACAAAGCAGAGCGTCCACTGCTTATACAAAAGCTGACCAAATCTTCCAGGTTATATGACAAGAGGAGGTTCAAGTTGCTCAAGGATGCCTGCATTGTCCATCTCTACAATGGTAAAGAAAACAGATTATCCTGTAACAATCACAGAGGGGTCTTTCTCTTAGTCATTGCTAGCAAGATTCTTTTTTGTAATCCTTTTTTATTTTAGATTTGAATACTAAAACTGAAATATATAATAAGCAAAAAAAACCCATAAACTTAAATATTAAAATTTAAATATAAAATAAGAAAAGGAAAAAATGTTATGTACACAACAGAATGTGAGAGAGAATTCAAAATATATAACAATTAATTTCCATTTCAAGAAAGCCTATATATTAAGCACTATGCATTGTTAAAAATTCTACATCTTTTCTTTGCTTCCTTATAGGGCTTTTTTTTTGTTCTCTGCTGTACACTTTTTACTTTGTTCTTTTTTTCCCCTTCCTCCCCTCCTCCCACCCTCTGGAGGATACAATTAAGTGTGGATGTATTTATATAGAGAGATTTATATATACATACATATATAACATACATATACATACATACATACATATGTATTTGAACACATACTTTCCCTAAGAGATTCTACTACTAATCTTCGTTTTTATGTTTGCGCATATCTCTTATTTCCTATCCATCCTAACTCCTCTACTTTACTTTTACCTGCTACCTTGTCCTCCCATTACTTAACCTACCCCCTACCGAAGATCCCTCTCTTATCTTCCCATTCCCATAAATCTAAACACCCTTCTATAAACCCCTTATTCACCCTCCCCTTTAAAAATTCCTCCCTTATCCTCCCCAGGATCCCTCCCTTATCCTCTCATTCCCATTAGTCTAAATATCCTTCCATATCCCCCTTTAACCTATTCCCTCATGCTCCCCTCTAAAGATCCCTCCTTATCCCCTTAGCCTCCATATCCCCTTAGCATTTTATTTCTTTGTATATTTAGAAGACTTTTATACTCTTCTAGATGTACATGTATTGTTCCTTCTTTAACCCATTCCTGATGAAAGAAGGTTTCCAGAACTACCAACCCTTCTCCCCTATCTAATTCCCGTGTTGGTTCTTCCTCTACTTTTCTCTCTTGTTCTAATGCTACAAGACAATTTTCTTTAATTATTTCTTGTATTATTGTGTCAAGATTCATTTTTCAATCATAGCTTTCAGGTGGTCTGATTATTTTTGTTTTGTCCTGTTCCTTTCTTTTCTCTTTCTCAAATTATTTTGATTTATCAACAATCACTTCCATAAGCTTTAGAGTTTTAAATTTTTCTCTCTCTCTCCCTCCCCACCTCCCTCCCCAAGACAGCACACAATCTGATATAGGCTATACATATACATTCCTATTAAACATACTTTCACATTAGTCATGTTGTAAAGCATTAGAACCAATAGAAGAAACCACAAGAAAGATGAAACAGAACAAAACAGGAAAAAAAAGCAAATAGTATGCTTCAATCTGCATTCAAACTCCATAGTTCTTTCTTTGGATGTGGATAGCATTATTTTGTCCTCTTGATCTGTTCTGTTGACTCTCTTTTCATAATCTTATTTTTCTTGAATTGGTTTTTTTTTTAGTTTTTCCTCATCCCTCTCATTTGATTTTTGAAGTCTTTTTTTAAGTTCATCTATGAATTCTTTTTGGATTACTCTTTGGGATAGAAGAGGGTTTCTTTGCCTCACTATCCTTCTCTGAAGATGAACCTGGTCTTCTCTATTCCCATAGTAGCTCTTTATGGTTGGATTCTTTCTCCTTTGCCTGTGCATTTTCTTTTTGTAATTACCTCTAAGTCTGGAGGTATGGGGAGGGGAGTTCTCTCTGACCTTGAATGCAAACCAAGACCTTCAGCCTCCTGTAAGTGCTTATAGCCAGTGATGTCCCTGCCCCACTGCTTCTGCACTCACCCAGTGTGTGCTGGCTCCTTCTTGCCTGACCAGCACAGCTGTGTCTGACATTCCTTGTCAGCAGAGGTCCCTCCATTTTCCCCAACTCCTCTCACTGACCCCAGAGGTAAAAGTGCCTGTGGCTGGGGCTGAGGCAGCCTCCCAACCCGCCTAACCCCAGGACTTTTGGCTTCTTGCTTAAGGAGTTACTAGCCTGGAGGTGTTTACTCTGCACAGGGACCAAACCTCAGCTGGGAATTTTTCTTCAGATCCTCTCAGATTGTCCCTTGAGGACTCCGGTTCTGCCCCTTCTCTTATTTATTTTTACCGCTCTATGTTTGCCCCAAGGAGCTGATTTATCTTTTTTGTGGAGTAAAATCTTGAGAGCTTGGAATTTTCTGACCTATTCTGCCATCTTCCCAGAATCCCCCCCACAAACAAGATTCTTGCTAGAGTCCTCCTTAATAGGCTGATCCTTCACCTGGAAGACGGTCATCTAACCAAGAGCCAGTGAGGCTTCAGAAAGGACTGAGGAACAGTCAATATTGCTACCAAACAACTCCAGAAGAAATGCCAGGAGCAGAACAGAGCCCAATGTTTGTTGATCTGACCAAGGCTTTTGATACTGTCAGTCATGAGGGCTTGTGGAAAATCACTGCAAAATTTGGTTACCTGCAGAAGTTCATCAGTATTGTATGTCAGTTCCATCATGGCATGTTTGCATGGGTTCTGGATAATGGATGGCGCTCTCTTGCTTTCCCAGTCACCAATGGAGTGATGCAGGGCTGTGTGCTTGCTCCCATGCTTTTTAATATGATGTTTTTTGTGATGTTCAATGAGACAAAAACAGCATCATGGTCAACTACTGCACTAATGATAAATTATTTAATTCAAAAAGACTACAAAACCAAGATTAACATGGATGGAGAGTTGGTATGCAACTTTTAGTTCACAGATGATTTTGCACTCAAAATAGACTTGAAGGCTGACATGCAACAGAGTATCGATCAATTCTCTGCCACTAATTTTGGCCTGACAATTAACATCAAGAAAACAGAGGTTCTTTACCAGAGAACCAGCACCACACCATCCATATATGGAACCACTGGTTATAGCAAATGGAAAAATTTTGAACATTGTGGATAAGTTCACTTACCTTGGCAGTATACTTTCCAGGGATGTACATAGATGACGAGGTTGACATACACATTGCCAGAGCTAGCATAGCGTTTGGGAGGCTCCAAAGGAAAGCATGGGAGAGAAGAGGTATTAGACTCCATACCAAACTGAAAGTCCACAAAGCCATTGTACTGACCTCGTTAGTGTATGCCTGTGAGACCTGGACAGAATACTAAAGCCATGCCAGGAAACTGAATTGCTTCCACTTGAATTGTTTTAGGAAGATTCTAAGGATCACCTGTCAAGAGAAGGTACTAGACACTGAGGTCTTTTCTTGAGTTGAACTGCCAGGCATTCAAACTCTACTGCAGAGAGCACAATTCCAATGGGCTGGCCATGTTATTCAAATGTCAAATATTTATTTGTCTTAAAGATTATTTCACAGAGAACTCACACAAGATAAATACTCACGTGGAAGTTAGAAGAAGCAATACAAGGACATGCTCAACATCTCCCTGAAGAACTTTGGAGCTGATGTGAGACATGGGAGACACTGGCACCAGACCACTCAGCATGTTTGCCTGCATCAAAGAAGGCATTGTGTTCTGTGAGCAAAGCAGAATTGCAGTAGCTCAAAAGAAACATGAAATGACAAATTTAGAGACATCTCCACTCCAAATGTTCATGTGGACTATTTGTGTCTGACCTGTGGTAGAGCCATCTGACACTTCTGACAGCAAGAGTAGGACACTTGGTAACTTGACTCCAACATAGTGATGTCATTTTGGTCCTCTTCAAGCATGAAAGCCAACAACCAACCAACTAGGAAGCTTTAAACTACCTCAAACACTCTAACCTCACAATTCCTCAAGTTATTCATTCCTTATGACTCCTCCAATCCCCCTCAGCTACACATAGAGATGGTCATACCCTTGATCATTCCATCACCCACAAATTACCACTTCCATGTTCATGAACTCTGAAATTCCAGTATCTGATCATAAGCTGTTGTTATTTGACCTCTCTCTTTGCCTTGCAACTCCAAACCCTGTTCTTTGTCCTCACTGTGACTTCCAATACCTCAAGCCCTTAGTTGTTTGTTTTTTCCCAAGCCATCATTCCTGCACTGGCTACACTCTACTCTCTTCCATATCATAATCACTCAATGAAGCAATTCCACTCTATACTGTCTTCTTCTCTTGATTACTTTACTACCTTATCCTGTTGTTGATCATGACTTGCCAAGCCTTACTCTTTGTTCTTCAACTGTTGCTGAAAGAATTCTCCAAAACAAAATCATGAAATCATGAAATCATGCTGACTGGATCCACTACAAATTTATGTTAAATAATCAAATTTGAATCCTCACTGCCTCAACAGATTCATCTTTTTCCTTCATTATCTCACATCTCCCAAATGCCTTTTGCCACTATCTCTGCCTTCACCTCTGACTCACATGAAAAGGTCTTTTGGCTTTGCCAAGAAAAACCCCTTCACATGCACATGTAACATCAAACCATCCCATCTTTCCTAGTATATTATGCTCTTTTATTATCCCCAGTATTTCACTTTCTTCAATTTCTCCTTGTCTACTGGAATCTTAACTACTACCTACACAAAAATTCTCCTGTCATGGTTAAAAAAAAAACTAACTTCATCCATCCATCCCAAATAGCTATCATCTAATATCTCCCCTCCCTTTTGTGATTAAACTCTTTAAGAAGGCTAACTACAATCAGTGCCTCTACTTTCTTTATTCTTACCCCACTCTTAACACTCTACAATCTGGCTTTCAATCTTATCATTCAACTAAAAGTGCTCTCTCTAAAGTTATCAATGATCTCTTGATTGCCAAATCTAATTACCTTTTCTTTCTCCTCATCCTTCTTGACCTCTCTCTAAAATGTCAGCATTGTTAATCACTCTTTTCTTCTTGATATTCTCTTCTCTCTAGGTTTTTGTGACACTACACTCTCATTGTTCTCCTCCAACTTGCATGGCCTCTCCTTTTCCATCTCCTTTGCTGGGGAGATTTGGCTTTATGCTTGGAAAGCCATCCACTCTGGAAAACACACCCATATCCACACATGCTTCTTGGGAAAGAATTCTTTAATAATAAAGTTTTGTTTAACAAGCTGGTAACCCAGCACAAAAGCCACATTTTATTTTCATCCCACCTCTCTACCCCCTCCCAAACCCCATATACATGTGCTTGCACAAAGACACAGTGATAACTCTCTGACATTTTGCCGTCTCCTTTCCTAATTCAATTCATAGTTAAGAAAAAAATAATCAAAGTGAAATACTTCTGCAAATCCAACATCCACCTCCCTAGAATGTCTTACTGCTATATAGACAGCCTTCTTAAATGAGGTTTCATAAATATTTTCCCACAAAGCAGTGCTGCATGAAATGGAACAATCTCCCAGTGAGTAGATTCAGGAGGATGACTGGAATAATAAATCCAGTATCAAGGCTAAAAGTTCCTCACACTCCTTGACTTCTTATGTGTCAAATGGCAATTTTCTTGCACCAATAATGCAAACTAGAGCCTGACCCCCCCAAAAAAAGTCTATAACCTATCAACAAATTATTTTGTATATAGGATATCAAAAGGATTTAGTATTCTTCATGCTGAAAATACAAGATCTGAAAAATATTGACTCCAGAGTACACATGATGCAACAGACCTTCCTGTTTTTTGGTGGACAGGGAAGATATGGGTGTCAAATATTGCATGCATAATGTCAAAAGTAATTCTTTGTCTGTTGGTTTTGATTAACAACTTTTCTTTGTGACATGAGAGGTTTCCATAGAGTGAGGGGAAGATGCCAGGAAATGTCTGTGGGGTTTTTTTTTGAAGGAATAAATAAAAACTTTAAGAAAAAAAATAGAATCTAAGCAGATTGATTTTATAGTATTTGGGGGGGGGGGGGACAGGCAGAAGCTATGGCCAGAAAGCTAGTTTTCTTTCTTTTCCTTCCAGGGAAAATTTTAAACTACTTCTCCTTTTTGCAGTATTTTTGCTATTGTATACACTATTCTCCTTATGGATTTTTTTTTCATTTCTTAAAACATCATATCTTGGCTTTTTTCTTTTTCATTTTAGTCATGACTTACAGGTAGTCCAACGATTTTTAAACTACCTATTCTTTTTTTTTTTTTGGTAACTCATTTGGGGTTAAGTGACTTGCCAAGAGTCACACAGCTAGTGAGTGTTAATGAGGTCAGATTTAAACTCAGGTCCTCCTGACTCCAGGGCCAATGCTCTATCCACCACACCACCTAACTGCCCCTTAAACTACCTATTCTTGATTTGTTTTCCAGAGTAGTTATTTTTGCTCTGAGATTTACATTTTCTTCTGGTTTTTTTTTCAGTCTTATGACTTTGTTTTAATATTTCTTCTTGTCTCGTGGAGTCATTAGCTATAATTTTCAGGCAGTTGTTTGTTTTGTTTTGTTTTGTTCTTGTCTTGAGTAAGGTTATGTACCTCTTGTTCAAAGCTATTAATTCTCACTCAAAATCTTTTTTCCATAGGTATAACTTACTTTTTTTTCCTGGTAGAATCCTGTTTCAGAATAGAGGAGGAGATTCATGCCGACAAGTGGTATTCTAAGCTAAGGAATAGTCATGGGCTGTGTACTGACTGAGGAACAAGTTCAGAAGTAAATGACAGCTGTTTGCTTCTGATCCCAGGAGCTGAGCTCTGTCCATCTGAACCTGTAGAGCTTCCCAATTGGGTGATAGTAGCTGAAAAGAGCAAATGGAGCAAACCGACAACCACACAAAACATTCAGCAACGACTGAAATAGTGTATAGCCTGTGCAACAGGGAAAGATGAGATCCTAGACACACAAAGAGAGGTTCAACCTTGTTCAGGCAGCAGGAGCAGTTGCCAACTGGAACTACTCATTCCAGGTCACAAACAGTGTGGTACTGAGGAGGGAAGCTGGACCTAGGAGTAGTGGTTCAGCATGCAGAGTTGTCATGGGTACCAGGCTACATATTGAGCAAGGTGCAAGCTCAAAAGCAAGATACATAATTCTAACCACAGGAACTGAACAGGCTCTCAGTTACAGCTTTTAGCTCAGTCCTGCAGCAAAATAACCATGGAAGGCAGTCCAGACAAAATGGGAGCCTGCAGTTCTGTCACTGTTAATCTTCAGGACTTTCCAGATGGCTGATGGTGACTGGGCCCAATTCAACTATAGGAACTCCAACCAGGGTCAACCCCACAGGCATGTTAACCCAAACCCAACTTAAGAACCTGCAGAACCTAGACCAGGAGGGCAGTGATCAGACTTTGCCCTGAATCAGATCAATTTGGGAGCACTAAAAACTTGTAGGTCTGCAGCCTGAATGAAAAACACAACACAATACTCCCAAGAAAGAAACAGCAAGACCCAAAAAGACACAAACTTAGTCCAGACATTCCTTCTAGAATTGTGCAGAGCCCAGCCTTAATGAAAGTCGGTAGGTAGGAAGTAAAATTTAAGACTAAACAAACAAATAAACAAACAAAAACCTCACTATAAAAAGTTATTATGATGAAAGAAAAGCTCAAAATACAAAACCAGAAGAAAATAAC